TGGGACCCTTCAGTCCGCAGGTCAACGCTCTATTCACTGAGCAAACTGTTTGGGGCCTGTAGTTCTTTTTCTTTGCCATGTCTTTATCTGGTTTTGGAATTAGGATAATGCTGGCTTTGTAAAACGAGCTCAGAAGTGTTGTATACTCTTGGATTCGTTGAAATGGTGTGAGGGGTATAGTTGTTAGTTCTTTGAATGTTTGGCAAAACTGTTTCGGTAAGCCATCTGGACCAGTCCGTTTATTTGCTGGGAGGTTTTTGTTTTGTTTTAATTACTGCTTCAATTTCGTTAGTAGTCATTGGTCTTTCCAGGTTTTCTGATTCTTCCTGAATGAGTTTTGGAAGGTTGTATTTCTCTACGAATATGGGCATTTTTCCAGATTGTCCTGTTTGTTGGAATAACGTCCGTCATAGTATTTTCTTACAATCCCTTGTATTTCTGTGGGATCAGTTTTTACAACACCTCATTCTGTGTCTGTCAAGTCCGCTTCCCAGTTCTTGCCATTCCCTGGTGCATCTTTCCTGATTGTAAATTGTCTGCTCAGCTGCATGTAATTTGTTAATAACAAGTGGGTGCTCTTTTATTTAGTTGTATTTGCAGTTTGGCTCAGGACGAGATGCACAATACATCAGCCTATTCGGACACCATTTATTTTATTTTATTTTTTTACCACTTTCTGATCCTTGCTGGTAAACCAGCTAGAGTGACTTCCGTACAGCTCGCAAATGCACAGGGCAGGCTCCCATCTGGAGCCTGCCAACCCTTCCCAGACTTACGCAGTGAAACCCCACTGACGAACGCCGGTTTCACCTCCCCCCATCGCTGCTGTCACCTCTCACAGGTATCCTGGTCCATTGTGTACTGTCCTCCACTAGATGCCAGTTCCCAAGGACAGGGGACTCTGTATTTGGGGAATCTGAAACAGTTGAGCTCAACAGTATCCAAAGCCACAGTCTTTAATGTGTCCCTTATGCCCACCCATGGCTGCTGACCATCCATCCAGCCTGATTCAAGTTCTCATCCCTACAGCCTTCCCTCAGCCCACACGCTCAAGGGACCTGGCCCATGAGCTGGCAGGAACACATTCACAGGCACCCAAACTCTCTGCCCCCTCAACCGCACCCCCCAGCAGCACACTATTCCCCAGAATCCAGGAACTATGCCCTCATTTCCGGTCTTCCATGCACAGGCAAAACTTAGGGGCGGGGGCACACCAACCACAGATCACCCTCCAAATGTGGAATTATATTGAGACCAATCCTCTCCTTCTGTAAATGCTTGTATTACCCCTTTTAATGGAACGTACACTCTTCTAGATTCCTCATGTTTCCAGTACAGGTGAAGCTTAAACGAGGAAAATAGGTCACAAAGAGTCTCCTTCAGTGTTGTTATTCTAAGTGAATAAAAGGAAACTTTCCCTGCACATTTAACACCTCTCCAGTGTGAACTCTCAGATGTTTATTAAGGTTGGATTTTTGGCTAAAAGACTTCCCACATTCAGTACACTCATGTGGCTTCTCTCCAGTGTGAACTCTAAGATGTTTAATAAGCTTAGAATTTTCGCAAAAAGACTTCCCACACTCAATACACTCATACAGCATCTCTCCAGTGTGAACTCTCAGATGTTTAATGAGCTCAGATTTTTTGCGAAAAGACTTCCCACATTCAGTACACGCATATGGCTTCTCTCCAGTGTGAACTCTCAGATGGCTAATAAGATTAGATTTTTGGCTAAAAGCCTTCCCACATTCAGTACACTCATGTGGCTTCTCTCCAGTGTGAACTCTAAGATGTTTAATAAGCTTAGAATTTTCGCAAAAAGACTTCCCACACTCAATACACTCATACAGCATCTCTCCAGTGTGAACTCTCAGATGTTTAATGAGCTCAGATTTTTTGCGAAAAGACTTCCCACATTCAGTACACGCATATGGCTTCTCTCCAGTGTGAACTCTCAGATGGCTAATAAGATTAGATTTTTGGCTAAAAGCCTTCCCACATTTTTTTTTTGTGAACTCTGAAGTGTCTAGTGAGGTGAGCCCTTGTACGAAAGGACATCCCACATTCTCTGCACTTATATGGCTTTTCTCCTGTGTGAACTTTGTTGTGTTGTTTGAGGTTAGCGTTGGAACTGAAGGATTTCCCACAATGTCTGCACTCATATGGTTTCTCTCCTGTGTGAACTCTGAGGTGGTTAGTGAGGTGGGGCTTTTGACGAAAGGATATCCCACATTCTTTGCACTCATATGACTTCTCCCCACTGTGAACTCTGAGGTGTCTAGTGAGTTGAGCCCATTGACAAAAGGACATCCCACATTCTTGACACTCATACGGCTTCTCTCCAGTGTGAACTCGGAGGTGTCTAGTGAGCTGAGTCCTTGTACGAAAGGACATCCCACATTCACTGCACTTATATGGCTTTTCTCCTGTGTGAACTCTGTTGTGTTGTTTGAGGTAAGACTTGGAACTGAAGGATTTCCCACAATGTCTGCACTCATATGGTTTTTGTCCAGTATGAACTCTGAGGTGTTCAGTGAGGTGGGTCTTTTGACGAAAGGATATCCCACATTCACTGCACTTAAATGGCTTTTCTCCTGTGTGAACTCTGTTGTGTTGTTTGAGGTTAGACTTGTAACTGAAAGACTTCCCACAATGTCTGCACGCATATGTCTTCTCTCCAGTGTGAACTCTCTGGTGTTTAATGAATGAAGGTCTTTTTCCAAAGAACTTCCCACATTCATTACACTGATACTGCTTTTCTCCAGTGTGAACTCCCTTATGTTGAACGACATTAAAGTTTCGTCTAAACACTTTCCTACATCTGTTACACTCATAAATCAGTTCTCCAGAACACACACCCTGACACTGAACAACTTTCAGGTTGTGGCTGGCAGCGTTTTCACATTCATCCCACTGGTGATGACTTTTTCCACTGAGAAATTCCTGTGAAATCTCACTGCCACAATGTAGCTCCTCAGTGTTGAGAATGGCCTGGTGCCAGAGAAGCTCTGAGTTGGACTGCAAGTCTTCCCCAACCTCCCTGCTGGTTGAAGGCACCAAAGATAAGGAGAAGCTGCACCTGTTCACAAAAGAGGCCTTGTCCATAGCTTCTTTCCAGGGCCCCTCTCCACATTCATTCTTTTGTTGCTGGTGAGGGTTTACACTGAAACAGAATTCTCCAACACATGCGTGGCTATAGAAGGCTTTCTGCTCAAAGTATGCTGCATGTGACCCAGTCGGGTGCAAAATATGTTGTAACACAGAGAAACACCGCTTACAGAGATGGTTCTCATGGGTGACTGGAGCTGTCTTAGAAGTCTTGACCTGTGACTTGCCTTGTATACATACTCGCTGATCAGAACAGGCCTCCTCATCTTCCATTTTATGCCAACACCCTGAAAAGTGAGAAATGGTGAGGAAATCAATGTTGAATGTGGTGGCAGGGGGAAGTCACATTGCAAAAGTGTGTTGCACATCACACATTGGTGCCATGCAATTGTTTGAAAATAAGAGATAAGCAGGAAGTCTTAATAAGAGGCTCTTGTGACTTTCTTGGCTAATGAAGATCAAA